TAGTAGGGATAATGGGTAGGTCGGGCATGGCTGACCAACCTGAGGCATAGTCTAGCTCCCGCTTGCGTGTCTGTCCTTGTTTTGCGTCTGGCTTGGGTCTAAGCCCAAGTTCCATTCCATGCTAGCACCCATATCCTCACGTTAGGCCACCGGTATGCCAAAATAGCGCCAGACTCTGTTTAGCTCCGTTTTGCGTGTTGGTCTTGGCATTGGGATATTGGTTACTCTAGGACTGTTCCAAGTCGCTCTGGGCTCCTGTCCCTTCGGTCCTTGGGCTGTATGCTCGAGAGTTGCTCCTTGGTTCGGTTTCATCACTCCTTGGCTCTAAGCTTGGGAGTTTGGCACCGTCCTTCGTTCAATGGCCCAGGGCCCTAAACCTCGGGTTCCACACCACTGTCCTTTGGACACGTGGCATGTGACATGTGGCATCTGTCACATGGCATAAAGAGGGTTTAGGTTCCGCTTCGTGGTGTTATCCTATGGTAAATCACCATAGGATAAGGGTAAAAACCACGTGCGCTACAATATTTATAATATCTATTCACTTTCAAAAATGATAATAAATATAAAATAAAAATGAATAAACCATGAAAAAATTAAATAATTATAATAATAACTAACTTGTAAAAAGTCAGCATCTCCATCTTAACAATGTAAACATTTACCTTCCACCCCTACTTCATAGATGTAATTCCCTTGATAAACATCTCTACTGAGTCGTCTAGATTATATATTTATCAGATATTAGAGATCATTTGTTTAACAACAACAATGTAGATATCATTAATTAAACTTTTTTAATTATTCAACCTCACTTCCCTTAAAATAAAATAAATAAAACCCAAAATTTAAAAATTATGTATTAAATTTATAATGTAAAAATTTATTATATATGATAATGCTTTACATATAAAATAAGTTAATTTTTTAATTATCTTATGTATTTTATAAAACATTATTCATAAGATATTCAAATATAGGAATTATTTTACAAAGAAGTAGTTTAATATTGTTAGTAATTGTTGGTTTGCTTAAGCAAACTGGGATGGTAGTTGATATACCTAGAATATGCTTGGATATTCTACCATTTTATGGTTGTTATTGATTTAGATTAATCTAATTTATAAACATGTTTATATTTTATAAACTTTCTTAAACACTTTCTAGTATATTCTTTTTTATTCTACCATCTAATGGTTTATATGCAATAAGATTAATCTTGTGTTTATAAATTATAAATAATATTTGATCAATTGGATTAATAAGTAAAAATAACACTACTATTAAGCAAACCAAATGTTGCTACATGCAACGCATAGCAAATTTTTCATTCATGAAATACTGATTGATAACAAGTATTAATTGATAAAATTTTAAAATAATTTATTTTTGTTTACTACTCTAATTTAAGCATTAGCAAATATGCTTTTAGATACTGCCAGAACCATCATTAATCTATGAATAATTGGCAGGGGAGAATTAAGTATTATACTATTGGAGTTTTCTTTCAAGATAGGAAGTCCTCCAAAAACTGAAGCGTTTGGATGCAAGCATATGACAAAATATACTCCAAAATATAATAAGTGGGCAGATCAAGAAATGCTGGCATTTGCAAAGTGGCAATAGCTCTCACTAGGAGGAACTGAAAGACGAAAAGGTTGATATTATATGCAAAGGAGTGAGAATATGTAATGTGTCACCTGGGTATTCTCGGACAATCATTCCAAGAGCGTGGCAAGCAGCCAGAGTCCTCCCATTATTTTGGAAGTAGAGATTAAAGGCGTATGATGCATGCCAGGGGAGTGTGTTTGGGGAGAAACACTCCCCTCCTTCTCTTATGGCCGAGCAGTCGATCTTCTGACATGTTTCCCCGAGAGCCACTTCAAACGCATAGCTGCGAATGCTCGAGTTTGCAATGCACCACTCGTTTCCCTCGCAAATCCCTTGGGACCATCAAGAAACAATGAGAATGGATCACCCAAATAGATGATCGCTTCGAGACTTACCGACGATGAGCATTAAAGCAACACCCAAGAGCGCCACTCTAGCCACGTCCATGAAACAAAGGAGACTACACAGGAGGACTCGCAAATCTTTCCAGGGACAAACGCACAAAGAACAAACTCTCGCTTGTTGGGAATTTAAATGACGAGCTGGAAGGTTTGTCAACAATATTCGCCCGTGACCACTTAGAAAGGTCTCCTCCTCGGCTTTAGCAGTTTTCACAGTGCTAAGCTTGACGAAGAAATTCTCTGGGGAGAATTGGTCCCCCATGGATCAACGCCAAGCTATAAAAGCGTCCCTGTCAAAGACAACTTATTCACGAGGAGTTACCGTACAATTTTGCGTGTGTACGGCGTGCGTGTGTGCTATAGCTGACTGACTCGGCAAAGAGGGGAAAAAGTATTGGGGGGTCTTCTTCTTTGAGCTTTCTCGCGAGGAGAGAGTTCAAGTGTTTTTTTTTTTTTCGCTAGGCTTAGATGGGCTGCTGCTCGAGCAAAGGCGCTATTCGAAAGCGGGCAGTCAAATGGAAGGCGACGGGAATTGTGGGCCTTCGAGATTCGCGTTTGAAGGTTTTTGATCCATTTCTTTTCGGGTCGATTTGATGTCGAGGACTCTTGGTATGACTTTACTGATTTGTTTCTCCTTTTTTGGGTCAGTCAATCCCGAGCGAAGTCTTCGAGATCGCCAAGGTGGTCAGGACTCTGGATGCGTCTTGCAATAAGATAGGTTCGTTTCTTACTTCCTTGTTTCCGGTTTGTTTTTCTGTCTTCCAAGTTCCACCATCGTCATTCCTTCTTCCTTTTCGAATGATTCATTTTTCTATCTTCCAACTTATATGATGCTACATTATTCCAGGTGAGCTTCCGCTTGGCATCGACTCCCTCCACAATCTCCAAAGACTGGTAACTTTCATCTTCGTTTTCCTTTCGTTCTGCTTTCTTTTTTTTTTTCTCTCCTTGCATTTCATTGTATTTGTTCCAATTACACCTGAAGATCCTTGTAGAAAACAGCTTGACAAGGCTCCCTTCAACTTTCGTCAAGCTCACGTCGCTCAAAACGCTCGCTCTTGATTCAAATCAATTATCCGAGCTCCCGGACGAGAGTGAGTGTTCTTTTCTCTCTTTTCTTTTTCGTTCTTCATCCGTTTGCACACGCAGTTGGGCTTTTGGTGCGATTGGAACGCTTGTCTATTGCAAGCAATCACTTGTCCTCTTTGCCGAGCTCCATGGGAAGCCTACGAAACGTAAGTTTGTCACATTACATCCTTTGCATGGGAACTTACAAGCGTTTTCTTCCATCTCCTTTGTGTTTTTCTAGCTGGTTATTCTCGATATCAGCCAAAACCAGGTGAAAGTCCTCCCAGAATCCATAGGCAGCTGTTTCTCGCTCGAAGAAATCCAAGCAAGTGGTACGTAACAACAAAAGAAATTGATAGTCTTGAGAGCTTTCTTTCTGTTTTTTCAGGAAATAGGATCGAGCAGCTGCCACAGTCACTGAGCAATCTAAGCCATCTCAAAACGCTGGTGCTCGCGGAGAACAAAATCTCTCAAGTTGAGTACTCGTTTCACCATTTTTCCTTTCCAAAACTCGTTTTTTTTTCTTGTGGAATCAGCTGCCGAGCTCCCTTTTGAAGAGCTGTAGCGCCTTGCAAACTCTGTCGCTTCACGGCAATCCCATCACTGTGGAAGATCTTCATCAGGTAATTCGATTTTCTCTGGAAAGCCAGGCTCTAATGCTGGATCATATACTCAGATGGATGGTTTCGAGGAATTCGAAGCTCGCAGGAGGAAAAAGGTTGACAAGCAACTTGACACAAACGTAGTCACAAACTCAAACTTTTTTGACGATGGCATTGACAGAAACACTACGTAATAAATCCTGTATCAAATCTGTCTAACTGCCACAAAAACGTGTAAGTCTACGTGAAGTTCGTCAAAGAAATCGGTATCATATGCGAAACTGTCCAAGAAATCCTTATCATAGCATCAAATCTCTTGGAATTTTTCCAATGTTAAGTATATACAAGCTTTCGCTGGATTACCGGGTGCTGCCATTGGGAGTGAACCTCATCCTCGACATTCCAGTCTCGAACGCTTCCAGCCAAGCCAAGAGATTATCATCCTCAAACTCGTCACCACCTTTGCTCGATCCTCCCGCGCCGCTGCTACTGCTGTGGATGCGAGCTCTGCAATACGGGCACTGCTCGTGCTGCTCCAGCCATGGCGTGAGGCAAGCCGGGTGGAACTTGTGCTTGCATGGCAAGCACAGCAAAGTCTGCCCCGCCAAGAACTGCTCCAGGCACACGGAGCAATCCACCTGTTCTTCCTGCGGACCTTTGCTGCTCGATCTCCACTTGCTGGATCGCTTCTGGCCGTAAATCTCCCTGGGAAGAGCGTTCACTGCCGCCTTGCTCAGCCCCTGGATCGGCGACGCCGGCAAGTCGTTCATCCACTCGGGCTGCCAGGATTCTCGAAACCCGGACACTCTCCCCGCCAGCCACTCAGTCAAGCTCGCCTCCCACTCGCGCTCGTCCTCCCAGACGAGGCTCTCCTCGTCCTCGTCCGAGAAGAGAGCGTTGAAGTAGTACTGCGCCAGCCTTGGCAGCGAGTTCTCGGGATTCCTGGACGAAGAAAAACCAAGTTTTGAGTATCAGCACAAGTCGAAGAAAAAAGATGTTTTAAGCATCAGGAAAACACAAAAGTGTGATTTACCTTCTGCCCAAGAATGTAGCTTCTCGCAATCGCTCGTCCAAACGGCCGCGAGCCTCGACAGCTGCCCTGTGAGCCTCGCTCTCGGAGCGTCTTTGGAGTAGAAATGGTAGCCTGGCACGAAAGAGTCGGTCGTGTGAGTTTGTTTGAGAGTACAAAGGCTCCACTGGGCGGCTGGACGAGGCCGTCTCGCTGGTGGTGGTGTTAGTTCCTTGCGAGGGTGGATCAAGAACACCATGCTGGAAAAGGAGAGTTAATATCAAATGGAAACAAAGAAAAGAAAGAATCGAGAGAAAGAACGAACCTGGAATCGTGTAGAGGCCCTTGGTCTGCTGTGATGATGATGGTGGTGGTGATGGTGATGGTGGTGCTGGTGGTGGTAGTGCCTGGAACGATGTTCTTGCGAATTTATTTGCTGCTGCTCGAGCTCCTGTTGCTGCTGCTGCTGGCGATTGCTTCGTCTCCTTGGACCCAGTTGCGCGAGGCCCGGAATCATGGCTCTCTCTCTCTTTCTTCTCGGCTGCTATGACGAAATCTCTCAGATTTCTAGCAACATTTCCTCGTGGGACAAAGCCCTCTTTCTCCTGGTGAGAGATCTGGAAGAACTTGCCTCGAATTGGCGGAGCAGTGGGATCGTCCCGGAGGAGCGTCGTTAGGATTTGGTGAAGAGATCCATCGCGGCCGCGAGCGCGCCAGGAGGACCCCAATGCTTGGCGGTAGCCATAGCCATAGCCTAGACGAAGTGGCCCGGATTCGAACGTAGGGCGTAGGCGTGTGTACGTGTACGTGTCTCGCTCTCGCTGGTTGTCCCGGGAATCGAGCGCTTGACCTCTAGGCATTGAATGGCTCCATGAACACTTGCCTCGAGCAAATCCAGACATGCCAGGCTCTGTCGGTGGCGATCCAGCTCCACGCCCAGATTCCATCCTGGCAGTGCGATTCGGTGCTGCTGCGCAATAGCCTAATCCAAATGTATGCCCGATGCGGCAGCGTAGCAGATGCCCGCAAGGTCTTCGATGATCAAGCGCTCCAAAACAATATCTACTCGTGGGCGATCATGATCTCGATCTACGCCCGCGCCGGCGACCTCGATGAAGCCCAGGCCCTCTTCGATCGGATCCCACTGCGAAGCGCGGTTGCGTGCAATACGATGCTAGCTGCTTATGCCCAGATTGGGGATTTGGAGAGGGCGATGGCGATCGCGCGAGAAATCGAAGCTCCGAATCTAGTTTCTTTAAATTTGGTGCTATCTTTCTACGCTAGATCTAGTCGATGTGAAGCTGCCGAGCGTCTGTTCTTTGCAATGCCCTACTGGACGCTTGCTTCGTGGACAGCCCTAATCACTGCATTTGCCCACACTGGGCAAATGCTCCAATTACAGCACTTTTTTGCGAATATGCCTCAGCACGACATAGTGGCGTGGAATGCACTTCTGGATGCGCACGCCCAAAATGCCAACGTGGAGAGTGCCGCGGGGATATTCTGGCGGATGCCTCAACGGAATCTAGTCTCGTGGACAACGATGCTCGCAGCCTATGCCCAAGCAGGGCATATCCTTGGGGCTAAGGCACTGTTTGAAAAGATGCCCGAGAGGGATTCTGTGGCGTGGAATGCCATGGTGGGGGCATATTCCCGTTGCGGGAATCTAGAGAACTCGAAACGCGTCTTTGACGAGATGCCAGAGCAAAACAACGTATCTTTCAACGCGATGCTTTTGGGATATACCCAAGGTGGGCATCTGGAAAATGCCAGTGTCTTGTTCGAGAGATTCCAAGATGCCGCTGACGTGTTTTCCTGGACAACAATGTTGGCGGCATATGCCGCTAGTGGTTACATAAGCGAAGCAAAGCGTATATTCGATAGGATGCCCCATCACAGCATCGTCTCGTGGAACTCTCTTCTCACGGGATATTCCCAGAACGGGCATCTTGAGCATGCAATGGAGGTGTTCCACTCAATGCCGCGAAGAAATCTCGTATCATGGAACATCCTTCTCTCGGCATATTCTCTGGCTGGGAATGTCCCGTTGGTTAGAAAATTCTTCGAGCAAATGCCCGAGAAGTCCATACTCTCTTGGAACTCGATCCTGGGAGCGCATGCCCAGACCGGTCATGCCTTGGAAGCTCTCGAAATTTTCAAGTTTGTGAAGCTAGTCGAAGCTCCAGACGATGTAACTTTCATCTCAGGACTCATCTCTTGCAGCCACGCCGGGAAAGTCCGCGATGGAATCGCGAGCTTCGTGTCCATGCAGCTCGATTTCAAGCTGGAGCCGACGAAGCAGCACTACTGCTGCGTGATCGATCTCCTGGGACGATCCGGCCACTTGAGCTACGCAAGAGATCTCATAGCAAACATGCCTTTCGTCCCGGAAGCTCTGGAGTGGACGTGCTTCCTGGGAGCCTGCCGAAGTTACAGCGATCTCCAGCGAGGAGCAAGCGCTGCTCGATCTGTACTTAAGTTAGATCCACTGAAAACATCAGCTTACGATTTGCTTGCAAATATTTACTCCATAGACGGATGGTTCTACGGCGAAGCCATCCCGCCCCCTACGAGAATTCCAAGACCGTCTTCAAACTATCTAGCTTCGTGTTAGAAGACTCTTAACTCTACTTATCTCAGGTTGTGGTTCTTGTACACGGTTGCTTCCTGTGTGGGATTGAACTTGTGCGTGAACACGTACGTGCACTCTGTGACTCCGTCCTCTGGAAGATCTGTGCAGTGTATAGCGTTTTTCACCTGGTTGATAAGAACAAGTTAGCCAGGAAACCGAGAAGATCGCATTGTAAGATCGTTTTACTTACCTTGTTAATACCATACTGCGCTCGGAGCGTACTCGGTCTTAAAGCCTTACACATTGCCGCATCAGGAGGCCCACAAAAGTCTCGAAAATCGTTCACGGGGTTGTCATCACCGCTTTCGTAACATATTTCCATTGCAATGAAGGGACCTACAGACAGCTCCTGTGCCATTGCCTGCATGCAAAGAACGCACTCGTCATTAAGTCGAAGGGAAGAATGCTTACATGATAGTCGGAGCAAACACCGTTGTAGAGCTCGTAAAACTCCAAGGCGCTAGGACGGCCAAATGTGACGAGTTCCATGGCTGTGATGACGAATCTCTTGAGAATAGCGTCGATGATGATTCCAGCAAAGCCTGTAGTCCCAGAGTCAAGGTTAGCTTTTGTGAATCGAGATAAGAGTCGATTACCGTCAAAAACAGCGTGAGGCTTGATCAAGCATAAGGTACAATGTTTCAGCTTTGCGCAAAATCCCAAGTTTTTGTCCTTGAAAAAGAAGTCTGACTCCTGAAAGGCCACAAACACTGATCAGCAATGCTGGAGTTCAGTCGAGGCTCACACCTGCTTTGCTGCACAAGGAGAATCAGATCCATGGCACGCGTTTCTAGTCTCGTCGCTGCCAAACTCCGCACGGATAGAACTGGGAGCTTTTACCTTTGCTTCAACGCTGTCTGTAGGACCTGTCTATTGAAAACCCGGCTTTAGAATAAGCTTTACGTTCCTCACAGACACTTGTAACGAACACAGCCATCTCACCAAGAAGAAGCCTCCATTTACTGATTGCGTCCTCCGCGACAAGCTCCAGAGCAACACAAGGGCCACTTGACATGTGGCTTGTAATGTGACTGAAAAGAAAGAGAAAGACACAAAAATGAAATGTTTGTAGATGTTGTAGAAGAAAGATCTTACCCGAAAAAATGTTTCCCAGCGTGTGCTTTATAGAACTGGGCCGCTTGCTGGGATGATAACTTACACATCCTCATTTGCTTTACAAGGAATCCATTGCTGTATATTATGTCTATAATCTTTCCCACATTGTCGATTGCATCAGGCTTTATCACGGCTATGGTCCTGCACGGATGAAACATTAGCCAGAAGTGCACAAGAATGAATAAAAAAACAAAGGAAATAGCATACGTTTCTTGCAGATTTGAGAGCTCCTTGCGAGTAAAATCGTCACCATAATCCTCGACTACAAGCTGCCTAGAATACAAGACAAAAGTACCACCGATATACAAATGCTCCAACCGGATCTCCGGATGGCTAACTCGCTTGAGAAAAATCTTTTGGTTCTTAATATCATACTGGACAACAAGAAGATGTCAAGAGAAAGAAAAGCGTGAACACATCCATGCCCACCATTTCAATGGAAGAATCCGCGGTGTTGTAGAAAAACTGGTACTTCCAAATCAGAGCACTCGTCGGATCGAGCCATCTCACAATGAAGCAATAGCGTGCTCCTTCCGCCATTGCTGCAAAGGAAAGAACGCTTCCAATGTAGCTCAAGGCCAAAGCAACAGAGAAATCTCACCAATATCCTACGAAATCTCGTGCCCCTTCTTCCAGGCAAGAAATCTTCTCCAAGAACAACGTCACTGCCAAGAAACCCGTCAAGAGAATCTGCCAGAGCAAGAACGAAAATGCGGGAAGAATCTCACAAAACAGCGCCTCGTCCGCGCGACGATCATCGCGCGATCATCTTCTCTCGCCTGGCGCCGGGCATTGCCATCCATCCGTGGCGCAAAACCCTACCCTAGAAAACCATTCCCCATTCGCAACGCAACCAACCAACTTTGCTATCTCATTTCAGGCCGTATTGAAACTGCCACCTCAAAATCCAGCGTGGCCAAACGCTAGTGACATGGCTGCTACGTCCGCAAAAATTTTCTTTCTAGACCCACGCGAGCTTGAGCATTTTGCTTGTGTGATCCCTCCATTTCGTCACGTCCGTGGTCTCCAGACAAAATTCCTTGCAAATCGCTTCGATCTTCTCGTTGCTCAGGGCCTCGGCGCTCGATGAATTGGCACGATCTACGAGTTTCTCGAGCTTCTCGGAGGGTGTAAATTCCTGGAGCCACGAACAAACTTGAATCAAAACCCAGATGAAACGAAGAGGAAGAACTAACCCAAGCATTGGTTTTTTTCTGCGATGCCTTCTCCTCCTCGGTCACCAGAGCTTGCAGCCTTCTGCTACCCTGTAGAAAATGTCAATTGCTTTGCTGTTTAACGCGCAAAAAACTTACTTGAAGAGCTCGCCAGTGAGCATGGACTCGGAAGAAGTTCCAGAGTATGACAACGTTTGGGAAGGGTACAATCTATCCACAGAACTCACGCTTTAGAAACAAGAAACTCTGGAAAAAGATTATAGGAAAGCTAACCGCGAAGAGCGAAGAGAAAGGAAGCAACGCGAGCGAACCATAGAGCAGTCTCCTGTGAAAAGCAGTCCCACTGCATCTCCAAAGTGTCAAAAACAATTCTCTCGGACATGGAAAAGCACAGACCTTATAGCTAGATGTCGCAGCCTGCGCCTCGCAAGACGTGAATTCAAGCTGAAACATCACAATTCCATCTTAGAAACAAGCCTCGAAGAAAGAAAAAGAAGGAAAAACTCTCGAAGAAAGAAAACTTTCAAAGAAAGAAAAACTTCTATTTATATTGTCCATCCATACTTTTCTTCACGCGAGCAATGCGTACCTCGAAGGATGGATGATGTTGATCTTGGTAGCATCCGGAGGAATCGCCTTGAAAAATTGCTCCGAGGGCTCGAGCTTCGCCAGGAGCTTCATTCCTTGTCTGTAGATAGAGAGGTAAACGCAACCATCAGCACCATCCACGCCTGTGACAAGTGACAATCCATCAAGCTTACAAGAAAAAGAATCAAACGAGCTCTCTCGGGAAGAAGCACCTGTGGATTTTGCTCCGGATGGTTCCAGGGCGCGCCGCCGCGAGATCCTGCCACTTCCTTTGCATCTGCCGGAATGGAGGCCGCAAATTCTAGCCAAAATGCGAGGAGAATCGAGACCCTACCTGGTCCTCCGCGAAGCGCACAAAGATGTCAATGCGATCCGAGAGCCGGGGCGTGGCGATGATGCGATCGCCGAGCTCGCGCACCGTGTCCCAGGTGCTGGATCCGGCAGGGATGCCGCCAGATTCTTGGACGATCGGAGAGGGAAGAACCTGGAATGCCCATCGCCGCCCAAGCCGCAGAGGAAAGGCGACCACTTTCAGCATTTCCCTGCCCCTTAAAGCTCTGTTCTAGGGTTAGGGCAAATCTATCTCTTATTATTTGAGAGGAGAGAGCTAGAGCTCTGGCGATGGCGATAGAAGCGCAGCAGCAGCCCCAATGGTTCACTCCAATGAGGTGAGATTACCCATTGCGCGATTGCGATTGCGAAATTTCTACCTTCCAGGTTGCTCGTTCTCTTCTGTGTCATCAATCTCCTCAACTACGTTGACCGCGGCGTGATCGCGAGCAATGGCGTGAATGGCGCTCCTGGGAACTATACTTGCCGCGCAAACGAGGCTTGCTCGCATGGATCTGGGATACAGTACGTGAGAAGCAAAGGAACACGAGTTCCTCGTTGGAGTTTTCTCATGCGTTTGAGCCTCTTTTCAGGGGTGAGTTTAAGCTCTCGAATTTCCAAGATGGTGTTTTGTCGTCGGCTTTCATGGGAGGACTCCTGGTCGCGTCTCCGATTTTCGCCGAGCTAACGAAAAGGTAAGTTTTCGTGATAGATTTCCTTTTCTTTCTTTTCTCTCGAACTTACTGGTTATTGAGTTGCAGCTGCAATCCTTTCCGGCTAATCGGAGTTGGCCTTTCGGTCTGGACGTTTGCCACTGCTGGTTGCGGTTTCTCTGTGGGATTTTGGTCGATCGCATCTTTTAGACTGTAAGTAATTCGCTATTTCGGTCCTGCTTGGCTGACCACTCTTGCTGGCTCAATGCAGGCTTGTTGGAGTGGGAGAAGCTTCGTTCGTCAGCCTCGCAGCTCCATTCATTGACGATTATGCTCCCCCCGAACAAGTAAGATTTATAAGTTTTGTGATGTTGTTTCTAAGCACCGGTTGATGCAGAAAAGTAGATGGCTTTCGTACTTTTACATGTGCATACCGGTTGGAGTGGCATTGGGCTACGTGTTTGGGGGTGTGGTATGTTGTCCTGGAGTCTCGTATAGGAACATGTTCTTACAGTACTTTCAGGTTGGATCCTTGTTGCATTGGAGGGCAGCCTTTTTCCTGGAGGCTTTGATCATGCTCCCCTTTGCGGTGTTTGGATTTGTTTCCGCTCCTATCAATCTTATGTCGAACTCTAATGACGGTACGTGCGTGCCTTGTCGACTTTTGTGCTCAACTTCGCGTTTAGATTTGTATACATTAATAGACGAGGAGCAGTCCACGGTGGAGAATAGTGAACGGTGAGCCATTGGTATCAATTATATTAGCATTCTAAATTCTTGTCCTATTTCTTGCAGATCAGCTAAAAGACCTGGTCTTTCAAAATTGAAAGGCGTCCTTTATGACTTCAGAGATCTTTTCCAAAACAAAGTTTATATGATCAATGTTCTAGGTACCGTTTTCCATGGATCCTACTTTCCAACTCATGCGTACATTCTTTTACTTTCAGGGTATATCGCGTTCAATTTTGTGTTAGGCGCCTATTCGTACTGGGGTCCAAAAGCTGGTGAAGCGATCTATCAGATGGTTTGTTGGTGCTTGTTTTATCATTTCGGACTTTGATGTTTTGGTTTCGCAGAAAAGCGCGGATCTAATTTTTGGTGGGGTTACCATGCTGTGTGGAGTTATCGGTACTTTTGTGGGAGGTGCCGTACTCGATTTCATTGGATCTTCCATACGGAACGGATTCAAGGTATATAGCCAAACTCGATTGACAGTTTCTTACGTAGCACCGGTTTGATCGCAGCTCCTTGCGCTATCAACTATCGTTGGAGGAGTTGGATGCATGCTCGCCTTCTCGTCGAGAAACGTGGTTTTGTTTATTTTCTTATTCGCTGTGGCAGAGCTATTTCTTTTCGCGACACAGGTATTTTGCGTGCTTTCTTCACTATGTCAACACTCTCTTGTGTTCTTGCAGGGCCCTGTCAATCAGTTAAATCTACAAAGTGTGCCTCAAGAACTGCGAGCGTTAGCTATGGCAACTTCGACTGTCTTAATACATGTTCTTGGGGACGTCCCTTCCTCCCCTCTTGTCGGATTAGTGGAGGTCAGTTAGCTCTAATTTTTTCTGTGCCTTTCTCACTGCAAACCTTACACGTACAGGATAAGCTACACAATTGGAGGTCGACCGCTTTGATCCTGACCTCAATCTACTTCCTGGCAGCCGCCTTTTGGCTGTGGGGATTTCTTCTCTTCTTCTTTGGCTCAGTAGAAGAGAAACAATCCCCACAAGCCGGGCAGGAAGAAACGACTTTGATCCAGCACTGAACCTTCGACACCATTGTATAGGCGTGGTTACACAAAACCGCGCGGAAAGCCGTTGGCCTTCCCTGGAAGCCAGGAAGCCATCTGCGAGCAAGTCTAGTATTTATATATGCCGGTGGTAGACTCTCCTGCAACTTCTTTCTTTCTTTCCATTTGGTGGTATTGACGAGTCGGGAACTGTGACAGAGATATCCTCCAGCATGAAGCTCAGCAATCTGGTGATGGGAACTCTCAACTTTGTCACGGTGGTGCTTAGCATCCCGATCATCGTCATCGGTATATGGCTGGCCACGAACAGGGACTCGGACTGCATGCACTTTCTCCAGCAGCCAACCATCAGCATTGGTGCTATCATCCTGGTGATATCCCTCGTGGGATTTCTCGGCTCCTGCTACAGGGTCTCGTGGCTGCTGTGGATCTACCTCTTTCTCATGCTGCTACTCATCCTTCTGCTCGTGTTCTTCACAGTGTTTACGTTCCTCGTCTCCAACCGCGGTGCCAGCCACGCCGTGGCCGGCACTGGCTTCTCCGAGTACCGGTTGGGAGACTACTCGGCCTGGCTGCAAAGCAAAGTTAGCAGCACAAGCAACTGGAGGAAGATCAAGAGCTGCCTCCAGGACTCAAACGTCTGCCGAGGCATGAACAGGTTCCACGACTCGGAGTCCTTTCAAAACGCTTCGCTCTCGCCGCTCGAGGTACTTACTCTTTTCCAGAGTTCTCCTATGCAACTTTTCCTTTTTCCTCGCAGTCGGGCTGCTGCAAGCCTCCAATATCGTGCGGATACAGCTACGAGAACGCGACACTCTGGGACGTGAGCCAGCAGTACGACTACGATTCTTCTTCCAGCGAGGAAGACGAAGAAGAATCGTCGTCCAACGTTTTCATCGGCGAAGATCCAGACTGCTCGACGTGGAGCAACAACCAGAACGAGCTTTGCTTCGACTGCAACTCTTGCCGAGCGGGGCTCCTGGCCAACATCAAGCGCGACTGGCACAAAGTCGCCATCGTCAACCTGGTGGTGCTCGTGTTCCTAATCGTGGTTTATTCGGTTGGATGCTGCGCCTTCTACAACGCCAAGAGAGAAGGCTACTTCAACAGGCGGTGGATCTTCTGAGTCTCAGCTAGCTCTTCCGATTATCTGGTAACTATAGTTCTTGAATTTCTTTGTCCCGAAGAGCTTCTTGACAAAAACGTACCTGTTTTCCAAAAACTTACGAGTCTCGGTGTTTTCACGCGACTTATTGTTCCTCTTTCGATGAGCTTGAACTTGAGCTTGGCTTTGGCTGGGGCTGTTCGTCTCGAGAACTTTGTGAAGAGGCTTCGTCTTTTTCTTCGGCTAGAGCTTTGGCTTCGTTCAACTTGGCTCTGGCGGCATCGGCATCGGCCCTGGCGGCCCTGGCCTTGTCCTTCTTCGTGGGCCTTCTACTGCGGACTTTTCGCTTGATCTGGTGAGTGCCTTCCCAGGGTGGCTTTTGCGCTCGAGTGAGTCCTGGAGGTAGAGTTATGCGAGCTAGCTTCGACTTGACCCACGGCAAAATTGGCTCTCGAGGAGGTGGTGGAGTTGCCGGTGGCTTTGGAGGCCTTAGTTCTCCGGGTCTATCAATAAATCTGGAAGAAACCAAGGCCAGATCAATACCACTCTGGAAGAACAATCGACCATTGCTCACTCTAAGAAAGCCATCATCGATTTATCTCCTAGTCTGTGGCGAGTTTGGACGACTCTTGTGTAGCCACCATGTCGATCTCTACAAGATGGAAAAGAAGAAAAAAAGATCTTAGTGTTAGCTTTCGCGAGAGAGAAAAAACTTAAAGATCGAGTTGGAGAAACTTTTACGCATAGCGAGGAGCAAGCTTGTAGAAAACTTTGTGGACGGTCTCGTCTGTGCGTAGCACCGCGCCGGCTCTTCGAATCGCGGAGAGCGTTCCCTGAATTGCTCGAAAAATCAGTCTCGAATGACAAGGAAAAAACATTCTTTCCACTCACCGCTTTCCCGAGCGTGATCATCTTGTCCGCTAATCTTCTCACCTCCTTTGCCTGGAAGAGCAAGCTCAAACACTAGCATTTCTCCAAGAAATTTACCTTCGCTAGGGTCGTTTCGATTCTCTCGTGTTCGATCAGCTGCGAGACCATCGTCCTGTGCAGAGATCGAATCCACAGCCGCGTCACGCGATGCGACGAGAGAAAACAAGGCACGTACCTGAGCATTGCCCATCGATGCTCGGCCGTTCGGCCGAGCTTCCGGTGATCCACCCGGTGCCGCATTGTGCCGGATCACGAAGGGAAGAACCCTAAACCCCTTAAACCCTAAATCTTCCTTTCCCCTTTGGGAAGAACCCTAAACCCCCTTAAACCCTAAATCCTTCTTTATCCTTTATTTTGTGAGAAAAATTTTTTACAATGGTTTGGTCGAAGATTTCGATTGCCTTACTTGAAACGAACCGAATCGCTGGATCGCTGGAAACTGCAAAAACAAAACAAAGAGAAAGGCCGCTCAGATTATTTTGTCAGCACAAAAAATCTCAGTCCTGTTGAGCTTGATTTCTAGTTTCAATCATCAACGCGGTAGGATCTCTCGACAAAGATACGAAGAAAAAACTCTCATCGATCGAATCGAACAAGCTGCTCAGCTCAGCGGGGTAATCACCATGCTGGGATCTTATCGATCCAAGCTCTGTCCTGTTGAGCTTGAAGATATTAGCTATCATCATCGCAGACCAAGCAAAGCTATGGATGTTGAGGCGCAGTTTAACATGAAACTTCCACTCTAGAACAAGGAAGACAAGCTGATAGATCACCTCAAAGAAAGCTTTCTTTGTTCTACGAGCTATTTCAGCCACCAATCTCACAGAGAGAAGGATGGATAGTTTAGCTCGTTTTCCCCAAAAAACGCCGCATTCTTCTACCCTCGGAGCTAGATCATACCTCATTTGTGTCCTTCCAGTCTCGAGAGCCGAGAATCCAGCTCCTTGTAGTAGTTCTGGGCCTGGCGGCGGCGAAATTTCAAGAAATCGATCAATGCAGCAAGGAAAAGGGGGATTACCTGCTCGACAAGGATCCGGTGACTCGTTTGCACGTCCTTCTGGACCATGTACATGCCGATCGCGGCCGCCGTGGCGAACCCGGCGACGAACGCCGCCATGCGCATTCGGAGCATTGTCGTCGACTGCGAAGAACCCTAGCTCGCCCGGGCCGTCGATTTCAACCCATCCTCAACGGTTGAGATGGCTGTAAAAGACGATAAAGCGATGCTGCCACGTGGCATTTTTTTTGGGATTTTTGTGGATAGCTCGCGAGAGAAAAGAGGGGAGCAAGAGGATGGATGATTAGCAAGCGCAGCTATGGCATTTGGGGGATTGGTAGCTTCTCCGGTGGCGACATTGGGAATCCCCAGATTACTGGATGGAGCGAAGATCCATCGCGTGTCCATGAATCGGATGAGAGGAAATCCATGTCAGGTCAGTATACGATCATAGGAGACCTAGATAGAACGCCCCATTCTCCGAAAAATTCAGCATTCTCTTCTTTCCAGCTCCAAGTCCGCTGTTCCACCGAAGTGGAGCAAATGAAGGAACTCTCGGCAGCGCAGAAACGATGGGAAGCGCAGGTAGAGAAAAGACTTTTTGTTTTCTTATATGTTCCCATTTCTCATGGAATGCTTTGCTTTGGAAAGGTGAGAGATGGAAAGATCAAGGCCTTGTCGCCCAAAGAAGCCGGCTATGCCGTCCAGCTCTCCAAGTACACATTGTTAGATGTTCGGCCATCGAGTGAAAGAAGTAAGGTGGTTTTTATGGATCGCTTTCATCTCGCAATCTTCCCTGTTCTAAAGTCGTCATCGTGTTTTTGATTTTTCTCCAGGCTTGGGTGAAAGGAAGCGTCTGGATTCCTGTCTACGACAGTGACAAAAACATGGATCCTGGCGCGCTACTGAAAAAACTCTCCACTTTTGCAATGGGTAAAGAAGTTTGATCCATGCCAAAGCTCAAGTTTGCTAAGCTGTGGATCAAAACATTGTAGGAGGGTGGTGGAGCGGCTTGGCTCTTATGAAATACAATGAGTAAGTGAGACTTTCTTTCTTCTTCGACTTCATTTGCGAAAACTATATCTATGCAGGAGATTCATGCCCGACCTGGTAGCAACAGTCCCCAAGAGTGCCAACGTAATTGTCGCTTGTCAAAAGGGACTGAGGTAAGCTCTTTGTCCTCCATAGTTTGAGCTGATTATTTCGTTTCTACAGATCCCTTGCAGCTTGTGAGCAAATGTATAAAGCTGGCTATAGGAACATTTTCTGGCTGAGTGGAGGCTTCGATGCCGTAGAAGAAGGGGTACAGAGCCGTACAGTTTGATCTTTTGGTAGAGACTTACGAGCTCTTTTCTTGTCAGGAATTCGAACGAGAAGGTCCCCAGGCTTTGAAGCTCGCCGGGATCGGTGGTATCTCCGAATTTTTGGGGTATGAAGGAAGCAATAGTTTACTATAGTGTTCATGAGAGATCATTTCCACCAGATGGACTGATGTTCAACGTCGAGCAGCTGCTAAGGAGGGATTTGGCTATAGAGCTGTAATGTTTGGTCGATTGGTAAGCTTGAAAAGTTCTATGTAAAGATCTTTTTTATTTTGTGTGTGTGTGTGTTGTGAATGCAGGTATTGGTAGTACTTGCAGTAGATTCACTCTTCATCGGTGCACAACAATTGATGCAACGAGTCCAAATGCATAACTAAATGGTTAACCAAATCATATTGGTGGTTTGTATACTTTTGGCAATTGCCTAGCTGCAGTCAAGCTCTCGTTAGCTGATGTTAGCAGTTCATTCTGATAAGTTGCTTGTCTTGTTTCTACTTCTTACCAGTCAGTCACTCAGGGAAATGGTGCTAAATCTTACTGGAAGATGGCAGCAAGCTTTAAAAGGTGGATGGCTCCTTCGTTTCAAATGAGGTATGCTTTGTATTGTTTTCAGAGACACAAAGAAGTCGCTTGCTGATAGGAACAGACGCTCGACCAGGATCAAACCGAGTGCCTCTCAGGCCCGGCGGGCGCTCAGTACAAAGATTTCGACTTCTCCACGGTGATGAGCTGCAATCGCCACCCGACCATCGTCAGAAGACTGCTGGCCACCGTATATCTGTAGCCTCGAGCAGCATCCAGTCGCTCGTCCTTGGCCACCTCGGCTCGTTACTTGTCGGTGAGCACACCAGATGACTAGTGTGGCGATGATCACCTCTGCGGGCATCCCAGCTGGTAGCCTCCCATACTCTTTGCTGCCTTGAGCAACGGTTTCTACACCAGCAGCCTCGCCAGTCTCGCCGTGATGAACATCCACCGACGAGTCGAGCGTGCAGAGGATGTTGGCGACTTGGTGCGGCTCAAAGAAGTTGGTGCTGTTGAAATGCGAGTCCTCGTCGTGGTTGAGCAACTCCAGGACCCGGGACGACCACGGATGAATTTGCAGCCCTTCCTCGTCCAGCAGCAGGAGCTCTGGATTGAAGCGCCTCATTGCCTCGAGGCCAGGGTCGTAGATCCACTCGCAATTGGTCTCCTTGTGATGATGACGAGTCCCACTGCAGCGCGCTGAGAGCCTCAGCCAGCGCACCGCTGCAGATGTCCCGGGACCAAAGGATGATCTCCGAGGCACGGACCAGATTGTTATCCCGGCGTGCCTTGAAAAGCTTGCCAGCAAAACGACACTCTTGTTTTCTACAAGGAACACGAGCAATTCCAAGTCGATGGAGACATACGAGCTTGCTTCTACAGGTCATTTTCATGCCTTGGGGATCCAATTATCCCACTTGTCTTGCTAGCAATCGATTCAAGGTGGCAATCTTGCAAAGCTTTATATAAAAAAGTTCTTGACATTCTATTTTAAAGAGATCTTCCTTAGCTGAAAATGAAATCCATCCTTCCATGCTTTCTTGCACGAAACATTGTTTGAAGTAATGGTGGCCTTTGTGATCATACAGAGTTTCTTGGCCACTAAGAAAGTTGCAATCGTAGAAGGCCACCATGTCTGTGCTGATTCTCAATGTCACAGCTTGCTTCCCCGTCTCATCATGGATATGGATATGGATGTGAGCAATTGCTTCATTCTACTAATGATTTCTTTGAGATTATTTTGCGAGAAGAACCTGGGATGTGATGTTCTTGGTGATAAAGAACCTTGAGTTAATGGAAACAGTGGTGCTGTTGTATGTTTTGAGCAGACTCATGTCATTTCTTTATGAGGTTGTGGAGTTCGAGAGTGATTATCATGAGTGAGCTTCCATGTGATAAACGGTTTGAATTTTGGAATGGCAACCTTTCTCTGGTTCAAGGTCCAATAGAGAGGTTAGATTTCTTTTTCTGTTTACCTGTAGACACCCGCTTTAATGCACACAATCACTCTTTGCTGGTTTTGTTCCAGAATGGAGTCAACTGCCTTGGCAATGGAGCTAAAATTCCTAGATCCATCTCCTGGCACCACAATCACACTCTGGTTTCTCTCCGCCTCCACCAAGCTCTTGATCAAATGGTGATCAATGCACATCTCAGCTGAAAAACTTGCAGAAATACTTACAGTGATGTTCTCCATGACTTCGGTGAGCTCCGCATCAGCCACGTTCAATGCACCAGACTAGAAAGCGTATTGGTAATCATTCTGTCCAGTGGAGATCAACTTGCATTGATCACAAGCATGACTTTCATCCACCAGTAGCATTCCTTGAGAAATGCCACAAATTGATCAAAGAAATCCTCACTAAAAGAAAGTTTTCTCCAAAAACGATAGGGATTCTCAACTCCAAACGCATCCAATTGTGCCAGGCCCACACTCCCTCAAGGTTCACAGCCTTTGATTTGTGCCCTTCTAGTATCACAATAAAAAAAATACGCGTTTGCTTTTAGGGCATAAGGACCAAAAGCGCCAAAAGCGGCCACATCCATCGAGTTGTTGCTGTAAATTCATTAAATGAGCAGTGTTACATGTGGGGAGTCCTTTGGGGCCCGGGATCCGTCCAGGTCGACCCAGCAGCGCCCTGGGCCCGGATTCCAGGCCCAGGATCCTCCCAGGAGGAGCCCTGCCCGTACACATGGAAAAACAACAAAATGTTAGAGATAAGATAGATCATGATGTGGCGAGCAATGGTGGCCAGCTCAGGGCCTGAGAATTGCCCAGCGAGAGGAATTCCCATGCCAGACACGGCAAACTTGCCAGATCTTGGCAAGGAGGAGCTTAAAAACGAGAATTTGATCCTCCTAGAGACGCAATATCCACCTTCACCATTGCTAAGTTTTTGATGATCTCTAAGCGTTGCCTGTGTTGGAGCATGATTACACCAAGGCAACATCTGCACCTCAAGCTCTCACTCATAAACCTGGAGCATTGGAGCATGATGACACCAGATGCTGAATAATGGTATCAGAAAATTGACGGTGGAATATTCTGTCAAAGGCGAGTACACTAAGATTAACAGGCATAAAACGAAACTATATGTGAGCTCAGGTGCAGGCAGCATGGACGAAGAGGAAACGATTGAGACAACCTCCTGGCGATGGATCACGGCGGCCATATCAAATCCCAAAACCTTCTTCACGATGGATGCTTGGCTTCCAAGGAGTGTCTATAGTATGATCTCAAGCTCAAGGAAAATTGCGTGGGATCAGACTCGAGGAGTATGTTTGCACGGGCATTAATTTGCGTTTCATACCATCCATAGTGATAGAAACACTGTGGATCACCAGCTGAGGTGCTTGGGAGCCTAGAACAAAGATGGAATCGTATTAGATAAAACTTGTAAAAATGCGACCACTTTATAGTACATTAAGCGTCTCCAGATTGATCATCGGGATCTACAGGCTCGACAACAATGACCACTGTGAATTTACAAGAGAGATCATTAGAGCCATGCTCCAAATTCGCGAGGAGCGCAATCGCACAGAAAAAATCAAGGCAAACCTTTTTCCGCTGGAAGCCGAGGAGAATCATTCAAGCGCAGCCGCTTGACCATATCGCACGCTTCGCTTGCCCCCAAACTCTTCACGAAGCCGTATGCGTCGCCGGGTAAAAGCGCCAGATCCTTGGAAGGCACCCAGTAGCAGCTCCCGGGGACGAATGGCAGCCAACTGGGCGCCGCCTTGCAAATCTTGTGCTCGCGAAGAACACGCTCAAGCCTGCGAACGGGACTGGGATCCCTGTCGACATAGACGCTCTCCTGCCAGGGCTCGCCGCCGCCGCTGTGGCCGCCCCGGCTGTGGATCAATAGCGGCGCCTTGGCCCTAGAAGCGCGAATCGAAGAGAAGATCGGCCGCAATCCCCTGTATCGAGCGCGGGCCATCAAATGTTCTAGCCCTGCCCTAATTTCTCGAATCTGCCACCTAAGCTAGAAGAAAGGTCTAACACGTGGCAAGCGTACATTGAAGGAACGTTTTCACGGTTTATCCTCAATATGGACGGAATATCCTATTCGAATAGATTACGGAATATCCTGTTCTAATTAGAAGAGGAGTGAGTGATTTGGTCAGCGAGAGAGCGAGCGGCGGTGCGCATTCCAATGTATGGGATTCAAGGCCAGCCGCTGGAAATCAATGGTAAGATCGCATTTCTTCTAGGATTTGGGAGGACTATCCACGATCTAGCTCGGAAAAATCCCACATTGCTAGGGTCTGATCGGCGTTTGCTTCCCAGTTGTTGGCGGCAAGAACTTGAGGAACACGGAGTGGTTGTCTCGGCAGGATCCATACGTGATTGTCGAGTATGGAACGCAAAAGCATAGAACAAAGACTGACACTGGTGAGAAAGATTTCCTTCGCTTCTGGTGGATTTTTGCGATCTTGAGAGACAATACTCCTGAGGATTATCTCTCAGGGGGATTGTCTCCCCAAGTTCTAACTTTTTCTTCGTTTTTCTCGTTCCAGATGGTGGGAAAAATCCTTCTTTCAACGATAAGTTCACGCTCTCATTGATAGAAGGCCTCCGCGAGCTTCATGTCCAAGTCTGGAACAGCAATACGCTCGCTATGGATGATCTCATCGGCACGGGAAGGTAAACTTTGCTGCTTCCGAAAAACTTTCTCCAGTTTTCTCAGAGAAACCGTGTGCTGCTCAAACTCGAAGGGTGCAGCTCGAGAAAGTGATCTCCTCGGGTTACGATGACAATGCCTGGCCACTGTCATCACGAAGTGGAAAGTAAGTCGATCTCGCAAACCAGTTTTCGTTTCTCTGATCTTCACGTATAATCCAGGCACGCTGGGGAGCTCCGATTGATCATGCACTTCAGCCAAGCGGTAAAACCATCCTTCGCAGAAACAATACTGGAAAACTCATACTTTCTTTGTTGCTTTCTTATAGCAGACTGGATCCAAGGACAAAGCTCACAAAAACGAGAAGGGCCATATGGAATCAGCGTATCCTCCAGCCGGGGGCTATCCTCCAGCGCCATTTCCTGGAGGATATCCTCCCCCTCATTCTGGAGGCTACCCTCCAGCTCCAGTTCCTGGAGGATATCCCCAAGCTCCAGGACATGGCTATCCTCCAGCTCCAGTTCCTGGGGGATATCCTCATGAAGCTCCAGGACATGGCTATCCTCCAGCTCCAGGAGGCTATCCTCCGGCAGGCTACAATCCGTATCCGCAAGGATCGTCAAGCTCTCCTCATCACAAGCCAGTAGCTCCTTACGGCAGTCCCGCTCCTCCGCACGGATACCCGGTTGTTCCACCACCATTTCCTCACCAAAAGCACGGAAGTTATGGTCACACACCGGGTATGGTTTCATTCTTTTCGCTACAGTAGTGGTTTTCACGTCTCGATTCTTACTCTCAGGTGGTGGACACGGCCATTACTCGCACGGCAAACACAAGAAGCACAAGCACGCCAAGATGAAAGTCTGGAAAGGCTTCAAGAAAGCTTTCAAGTGATCAAATCATTTACAAGCTAAGCTTTCCGAGCTATGCCGAGCGCCACAATCGCATCATGCAGCTGCTTCCACCGCTGCTCCAGCGTCCCAGTGTATCCCACCGACAGCCTCACAAGCCCGGCTCCAACGCCGGCCTCGGCCCTCTCCGCCTCGTTCAGCTCGCTACTCGTGCTCGAGGACGAGCACGACATGAGCGTCTCGTGGTAGCCGAGGCTCACCGCCATGAGCCCAAACCCGGTGAAGTTCTGCAAGTAGTGCATGAACCGGTTGGCCCGCTCGTCCGTGTCCAAGTCCACCGCCACCACCCCGCCATAGCCATAGCCTTCGTTCCCCAGCGCTTTGAGAAGTTCGTGCTGGGGGTGATCCTCCAGGCCCGGATATATCACCTTGAGACCCATGCTCTTCATCCTCTTCGCAAACTCCATCGCCCGGGACGAGTGCTCGCGCATTCTTAGTCCGAGATGCGCGAGCCTGCCCGATACGTGAAACGCGACTGTTGGATTCATGGTCGGGCCGAGCAGCATCAGAGCTCCGTGCTGGAGTCCCATCATGTCGCGGATGAGCGCCGCCGGGCCACACACCGCGCCAGCGATCACGTCGCTCTGCCCGCTGATGAACTTGGAGATGCTGTGCACGACCACGTCCGCGCCGAGCCGCGCCGGCGAGAGAACCATGGGCGCGAAGGTGTTGTCCACCACCAGCGCGGCGCTGCGAGCGTGGGCGATGGCAGCCAGCGCGGGGATGTCCGCGACGGTGAGCACCGGGTTGGCGATGGACTCCACGTAGAGGATCTTGGTGCCGCGCGACGCCACCGCGCGCTCCACCGCGGCGGTGTCGGTCACGTCCACGAAGGTGGTGGCGATGCCGCAGGTGCGCGGGAGGAAGTGACGCAGCAGCGCGTAGGTGCCGCCGTAGAGGCGGTTGGAGGCGACGACGTGGTCGCCGGCGTCGCACAGCTGCAGTATGACGCTGGCTACCGCAGACATGCCGCTGGCGGTGCAGTAGGCGGCCTGGGTGCCCTCCATGGCGGCGATCTGGCGGCCCAGGTTGAGCACCGTGGGGTTGAAGTGGCGGCTGTAGATGTAGAAGTCGCGGTCCGGTCCGAGCTCACCTTTGAACATCTTGGCCATGGTCTCGGCCTCCATCACCGTGAAGGTGGAGGAGGCCTCGATGGACATGTTGACGCCGCCGTGCTCGCCGAATTCGTGGCGGATGGAGACGAGGCCCTCTTCCGGATCGAGGGGTGGCGGCGGCGATGATGCTCTTGGGCGCTTTGCCGAGTAGCGGTCCTGGAAGAAGCCACTCGCGGATCCTGATCCTCCTCGCTTGGTGGAGCTGTCCATGGAGAACTATGGATATGATCTAGAGCCTGGGAGAACTGTGATCTATAAGGAGAACGATGATGTATAGCCTGTTTTGGAGAGCGATGATGTATAGCCTCTTTGGATCGAAGTTTATGTGATGTTTAAAAGGAACTTCGCCACGAGAAAGAGTTCCAAGAAAAGCTGGAACGTTATGGGCCGTTGGATCGAGGGATCCGGGATAAGTACACGTGAGGCTGCGCTGTGCATTGTACCTGGACGGTTTCGCGGCGGAATATGCGGGTAGCGGATATTCCGTCGAGGTGCCGTCAAGGACTTAAAAACATGGATATCAAGGACGGAAATTTATCACGTTTTGTTGTCCATGGACGAGTGAGACACACGGTATCAAACTATATAAGGTGACCTGGTAGTTTCCAGATTGACGTGGAACCCAAGATGTGACAAACTAACAATGGATCAGCTTGGAGATGGAGTTCCGAATAAAATTTCTATAGTTCTTCGTAACGAGCATGGCAGCTATGAGTTCTTCTTTCACTTCTTCTGTAACGAAAGCACTCACTGGAAGTAGATTATAAGATGATCATGCACAAACTTCTGATAATATAACCAAGATCTCGTTCTCTCGGAAATCTGTCTCGGCAAAATGGAGAGCGAGGAGATCAGAAGGTTAGTTTCTTTCAAAGCGAATGAATATCAAAGACTAAACACAGAACACTTACTTTGTAGAAGAGTGAAAAGAGCTCTACCAACAATTGCCCCGTGCGTGTGGCTGCTGAAGTGAGAAAATACACTACCATTTTGTGCCTGTCAAACCGTTTTAGAATATAGACAGGAAGTAGAATAAAAGAGAAGTAGAGTTCTCTTAGTTTCACACCAACTTACAGAGTGGAAGCCATCAACTTCCTCCTGTCGCTCCTTACCAGACCATCAATGCATTGCGTTGCAGGCTTTTCTTCCCATGCCATATGGGCACTGCCAGTACGAACAGAAGAAAAACAAGGAAAAGAGATGGACGATATGGGAAACTCTTAAAAGACTATACCTCTGTAAGTAGCTTGCTCCTCCTCCGCCTCTCTCGCAATGAGCAGCTGCGAGCTCGTCTCCATAAAACTCGATGGAGACGATGGTGTTGCTGGTGATCCAAAAGCCGGAGGAGCTCGCGATCCAAATCTTGATGGAGCTCGCCATCCAAAGCTCGATGGAGACGAGGACGAGAGGCGGCTCAACGAGCTCGGCTACAAGCAGGAGTACCGGCGCGTCATGACACCTTTCCAGCAGTTCGCCTATACTTTCTCCTACACCGCCCCGCTCGGCTTCGTCACTGGATACTACGGTTACATGTACTGCTATGGTGGCCCGCTCGTCATCTTCTGGGGAATGCTCGTCACCACTCTCGGAACTTTGAGCGTGCTGCTCGCTATTGCCGAAGTTTACTCCACCTTCCCGACTCTTGGGAGCGTCTACTACTGGGTTGCGCAGCTCTGTCCGGGCATGCACTGGCTTTCGTGGCTCGTCGGCTGGATCTACCTGGTCGGAGCTCTCTGTGGAACCGCGCTCAACGAGTACCTTCTCGCGAAGTTTGCTCAGAAGATGATACTTCTCAGCACTGGAGGAGCGCAGGGTGGCGGCTTCAATCTGTCCAGCTATCAAGTAGGCTTTGAGAAGAAGAAAGTTTTGGGATGCTTACTTGGTTTGCTGTGAAGGTCACGCTCGTCACCACATTGGCATTTGCCGCTCACTTGGGAGTGTCAGTCGTCAGTTCGAAATGGCTGGGATACTTGAGCAGTGCTGGAGCTTGGTTCCAAATGGCTGCGACTTTCATTGTCGGTGTCACACTCCTCGGGATCAGTCCCAAGTTCCAGAGCCCCAAGTTTGTCTTCACGGAATTCGTGAGAGCTCCTGGCCAAGAGCTCCACAGCTCGTGGATGATCGCGGCTGCTGGACTGCCTTACTTTCAGGTGAGATCCTGTTCTGCCACTTCTTTCTCTCAAGCTTGCTCTTTTTTCCTCCAAGGCTATGCTCACGGGCTTTGATGTCGGATCCCACATTGTCGAGGAAGTAAAAACTGCGGCCATTGCTGGTCCCCGTGCTATGATACGAAGCGCTTATCTCACAGCCGGGATCGATATGCTGCTGCTCTTCATCATGACCTTCTGCATCCAAAAGCCCGAGAATCTGCTAGCCTTCGACACAGCAACTGGTAAACTTTAAGATGATCTTGGCCGGGATCGAGTTCTTTTTCCAGGTGGAGGACTCGAGTCGGCTGGAATCCAGCTCTTCTACGATTGCTTTGAAGCCAGATTCAAACGTGGAAACGTTGGAGCGGTCCTCTTCACGGGTCTCGCAGCAACGTCGTTGTTCTTCGCCAACATTATCAACGTCACACTGACTGCTCGATGCGTAAGTAAACTTCACGATGTTTCCTGCTAAGCCGTTTTCTCCACAGGTCTATGCCATGGCTAGAGACGCCAGCATTCCCTTCCAAGCCTTCCTCACTAGACTGACTGCTCGAGAGAAAGTCCCTGTGAACGCCACCTTTGCCACTGTTGCTATTGCCTTCCTAGCAACTCTACCATCTTCCGGGAGCTCCGTGGCCTTCACTGCTATAGCAGCCATGTCGACTGTCACTGCCTGGATACCTTACATCATAGTTCTCTTCTGCAAGCACGCACCGAGCGGTAAGAAGCACCCACCAGGACCGTATACTCTACATGGCTTTGGAGTCTACCTTGGAGCTTGGGGAAGCCTCTGGGGGATTCTCATTACAATTCTTTTCTGCCTGCCGCCAAAGTTTCCCATTGGAATCCAGAGCTTCAACTACACCCCGTTGTCGCTCGTTGGAACGATTGGAGTCGGTGTCGTCTACTGGCAAGTGTATGGCAAGTGGACATACACCGGACCAAGGACAACACTCGACGAAAAGATCGCATTTTGACCTCTGGCAAAACAATATCAACAACCTGTAGTGTTTCAAGAGTAGAATTCATCTGTACCTTCCTGTAGCGCACAGAAGCGCGGGACCTGATTCAGAAACGCCAAGATAAACGTAAGTTTGTTTTTTCTTTGTAAACTCTCGAAGTCGAACCTGAATAAAGATCTTCACGTGCCGTGGAATATCTCGTACAAGCTCACGCATATATCCGCAGCTATGAGAACGATGATTATCCACTCCAGGGAGTCCGACTTGCGGTTCTGTAGGATGTCGAGGAAGAACGCTACGTTGTGCTGGATAATCCCGGTCTTCTTTTCCAGGCTCTCAAACCTGTCCTCGAGCTCAAACTCTTCGCGCATGAAGGCCCAGATGCTATCATAGTTTGCGTTCTGCCAGGCTACGTCGGACCTCTCCAACAGTCCAGCCTTGAGGATCGTCTCCGCGAGAGCCGTGTTGACGGACGCGACAAGCTTGAAGAGCTCACGCCGCTGGAGATTAAAAGTCCCAGTTTGCTGCATGATGAAGTTGAGATCGTCGAAGGATTTCAGCATGGCGTCGATCTGTTTAGTGTAATGATCCAGCGCGATGCTCTGGCTCAATATCACGGCCACCACACGGATGCTGTTCACGTCGAGTTCCTTCACCATGATCCTGTCCACCGAGCCTTCGCTCCATTTATCCAAAGTTGGCCTCACTACCACACAGTAGTTGTCTCGGTTTGGCTCGTCAAACACGCCTTTGGAGTGCTGCTTCACTGTCTTGAGATACTCCTCCTCCTTTCCTGGAGCAACGTTGAAGAGCACCGCGGTTCCATAGTTAAAGATGACCATGTAGCCTTCGTCGTTCCAGCAATCGATGGTTGGAACTCCAGTCACCTCGGCAGCGGGAGAACTCGAAGAAGCAGCGTCTTTGAGCCGGATGATCAAGTGGTTTCGTGAAACCGCAATGTCGAGTGACTTCTCTTGAGCGAGTGTTCTCAAGTCGACGCTTCGCGCGAAGAAACGAGCCTCCACGGGAACGTAGGCCTCTGGTTGATCGACGTAAATCTCACCCTCGGCCTGCTCTTCAAAGCCGAGCTCGTCTTCCTCGACTGGCCGAGCAGCTGAGTTTCTCATTCGGAGCTGGCTGTGAACTTCCGGGTACTGCCGCGGTCCGGAGGCATTTGGAGATCTCTCCTTGGCAGGAGCTTCTTTGAAAGCCTTCCGCGAGAAGTGAGCGTTGGGAATAAATACCGGCAGTGGCGAAAGGAGCTGTTTGAAGGGCTCTTGTCGAGGAGATTCATGAAGACGAATTCTCTTCCTCGATGCCGACGAGAGAACGCTGCGGAACTTTGTCACAGCATGAGAATTAAACATGTGTTCCTGGTAGCAAAGAGAGGATTTGTCAACTCCATGCTACGACGAAAAATGGAAGAACAAGCAATGAACACAAAAGAAAAGAGCAAAAGAATGCCACTGCTAAAGAGGAAAAAATGCTTGATCGAACGAAGAGATTAGCAGAAAATGCGAAGATAGACAAAAAAAAATCCCAGCTGACTGTTTGATCGAAACAAGTTAGCTATGGGGGAAAAAAAAGAGAAGATTTGTCAGCTCAAAAGCTAAGAAGAAAAAATGGAAGAAAAACAAGCAATGCACACGAAGAAAAGAGCAAAAGAATGGCTTGATCGAGCGAAGACAATACCACAGCTAACTGTTTGATCCAGCGAGAGCGAAGAGCAAAAGAATGAAGAGGAAAAAATGCCTGATCGAGCAGCACCATTTCGAGAGAAAAAAAATGCCTTGATCCAGCGAGCTAAGCTATGAACGAAACAAGCTAGCTATAGGAGCTCATAGCGACATACCTCTTGGCCCCGGCGAGAAGACGGAGGAGAAGGACAATAAGAGCCCTAGAAATAAAGGGTTCTAGGGTTCTTCCCAAATGGAAGTATCCCAGCTCCTGGATTCCTACTTCCACGGTGCCAATGATCTCGCAAACCTCCACACCTTGCAGCAGGATCTGGAATCGGAATGCGGCCAGCTCGAGGTCAAGCTTCAGGACGCACGATCGCGGGCGCGCCACGCAGCGGCCGATGGATCGGCCCAAATGCACGCCATCGCGGTGTCTCTCGAGGCGCTGTGTGGATTCTGCGAGGAGCGATCGTCGTCGTCGTCGCCGCCAGGGGCGGAGCCGGAGCTCTTGCGGGAGCTGAGCGATCTGGCGGAGGAAGTGTCGCGCGTCGCCCAAGTTAGGGCTTATGTCGATGCAGTGCTCCAGCTCGAGAGGCTCGTCGGGGATTTGGAGGATGGAGTGTTCGCGGCGGCGTCCTCCACGCCGGTCGTGAGCCGAGGAGCTGCTGGATCTCCCTCTTCTCAGGTACGCGAATTCTTCCCTGGATCATATAGTTCTTTTGCCAATGCTGGATAGCACTGTAGCTCTCTCTAGTTTCACATAGATTTTTTAGCGAGTAGCGATCTTTGTTTACGAGTTATTTCGCGATCGCTGGCTAAAACTCCACTACTCTTTCCTTTCAGGCTGGACAGTTCGTGATCTCGGCTGTGAATTCCCTGGCCGCGATCGAGAAGTTGATGGGCGAGATCGTCGAGTGCCAGCCGCAATGGGATCGTCTCATCTCCGCTGTGGACGTCCGTGTGGATCGAGCAGCAGCAGCTCTCCGGCCAGTGGTAATCTCGGACTATCGCTCCATCGTCATTTCCATAGGCTGGCCGCCTCCACTCTCCATCTCCGGCGACAGGGATGATCAGCAAGCCAAATCACACCCGCTGCTCCAGCTCCAAGGCGACGCCAAGAGAAAGTTCCGCGAGAGCTTTGTCTCGCTCTCGAGGTTCCAGGCCGGGCAAATCCAGCGGAGGCGTCGTGAGTTTCGAGGATATAGAGACAAGACTCCAGCTCCTCGCGAGGCACTGTGGTCGATCGAAGAGCTGGTGCATCCGATAACAGCGAAAGCCGAGGTCCACTTCAAGAAGTGGCTCCACAAGCCAGAGTTCGTCTTCGCTCTAGCTTACAGGATCACGCAGCAACACGTAGCGGTAGTGGACGCTCTTCTCCAGCCGATGTTGGACGAAGAGTTCCTGGGATACAGTGCGAGAGAAGAGTGGATATCATCCCTGGTGGCTATGGTGGCGGAGCACTTACGACGGTGGGCTTTGCCGACTCTCATGGAAGACTTGGAGGATTCTCTGTCCGATCAGGCCTCCACGGTTTGGCTACACACAGTCGATCAGACGCTGTCCTTCGACTCCAAAATGCAAGCTCTGGTTGCGAAAGGGATCGGAATGAGCAGCGGTGACGAGCAACTCTCGAGCAGTGTTTTTGGGGTCCGTCGGGCTTGCATTGCCGTGTTCTCGGACCGTGGAGACTGGTTGGAAGTTTGGACTAGGCTCGAGCTAGGTGACGCGAGAAGAAAGATGGCGGTGGAGTATGGGAACGAAGCGGCTTGGAAGATAAACTCCGCGAGCTCGATCTCGGGCTCTACCGAGTTTAAGCCCCCGCTAGCAGCTTATCGGCTCACTAGCGCCGCTTGGAACTTGGTTGATCGATGCAGGACTTTGCCCGAGGCCAGCCAGCGGCTACTGTTCGTGAGGAAAACGGCACTGCCGGTTTTGGACGAGTTTATCGACGAGCTCTTGCAGAGATGCCAGGAGAGTGAGGCAGTGACGGCTCTCGCCGATGAGCCTTCGATGATCAAAGTCGGTGTCTGCCTCAACGCAGCTCGCTACTGCGAGAACACGGTCAGGGACTGGTGCGAGGATTTCTTCTTTCTGGAACTCAGGCTCGCGGAGCTCCAGGAGAACTCGCCAGGTTTTTCTCCAGCGGCCGAGGAGGAGCTCGCGCAGATTCAAGGCTCGGTTTTTGACTCGCAGTTGGAGAAGCTGTCGAGATTCCGAAGCAGCTGGATCGGGAAGCTGGTCTCGGTGGTGTCGAGAGGATTCGACGTTCGCTGCCGTGAGTACTTCCGCAACAAGAAGAGATGGTCCGAAGAGTGGGCTCCAAGCTTCGAAGACGCACCGTCTGGAAGCTTGGTGGACGCACTGGCAGCACTCCAGAGCCAGCTTAGCTCTCTTAAGAACAGCCTCGATCAGGCCAACTTTGTGGAGCTGTGGCAGCGGTTGATCCCGAGTCTCGATCAGCTACTCTTCCTGGGACTGGTTCTCGGCGGTGCTCGATTCTCGGAGCAGGGTGCCCGACAGTTTGGAGCGGACGTGAAAGCCTTGTTTCTCATCTTCCGGCCTTACTGCGCTCGCCCGGCCAGCTTCTTCTCGGCAGTGAGCGATGCGGCGAAGCTACTGGCTTTGGATTCGCAGCAGGCTTTCAACTTCATGGAGAGACTCCGGGGGTATGATTCGGATGAGGAGCAAGAGGAGGATTTGCTCGTGAAATTGAGGAGTATTTGTGGCGTGAGAAAGATGACAGCGTCTGTGGCATACAGAGTTCTTGGCTCTCGACTTCTTTAAATATTTCATGGCGATTGAGTTTAAAACTTTTTTGTTTTACTTAGTTTATGATGTAATTAGTATAATGTCATTTCAAAATGATTATTTTATTTTATTTGAAATTAATTAAATTTTTAAAGTTGTGTTCAATGATGTTATAGTGATAACAAATAAAATTTTGAAAAGATAGAATAAATTTGTTATAAAAATATTTTATTTTTTATGTTCTAACCAAAGGAATTTGATTAATTTAAGAAAATCAAGAGAAGTGAGACCCACTAACAGCCAAAGCAAAGCGTAATTCAGTATATTAAAGGATTTGCTATTACGTAGCACTAAAACAAAAAAGGAAAAAAATAAAACATTAAAGTAAAGTGCTATAACTGCGCAACAATCCTGCTGTAAGGAACTAACTCCCCGAGGTGTCATAGGCTAAAGGATCCCCGAAAGAATGACTGAAATGACAAAAAGTTCATCAGATGGGACCGAGTCTGAGATCGAGTCCAAGACTGACTCTAAGACCGAGTTCGAGATGGAATCCGGAATCTAGTCCGACGCCGACTTGGAGACCGAGTTCGAGACCGAGTTCAAGACCGAGTTCGAGACAGAGTCCGAGATCCGAAAACAGGTCCAAGACCGAGTCTGAGATCGAGTCCAAAGTCGAGTCCGAGACCGAATCCGAAGTCGGGTCCGAGATCGAGTCCGAGACTGAATCCGAAGTCGGGTTCGAGATCGAGTCCGAGATCGAGTCCAAGATCAAGTCCGAGACCGAGTCCGAGTACTAATACAGATCAAGGGGTGAAAGCCCAAAGCGTGCATCTCCCGGGGCTGCAGGGGGTTCCAAAAGTATAGTAGGGATAGTGGTCTTGAAGGAACTCTCTAGTGGTGCGTCCAAACTGATTTGAGGTTGAGGCTAGGGCCTGTCAAGACCCCCAACAAGATCAAGACTGGAAAATGCTAAAGATAAAGAGAAAAAGCTAGTGAAAACAAAGAAGAGGCCTTAGACTGGTGTTGATTCAGATTGTGGAGAAATGGAACAAGGCTAATCTATATATACTATAGGTTGATGAAGCTCCACCACTCTTGAATCGAGGACGGCCTAAATATAGTTGAGGTCGAGGAGGTGCCACATCATCATCAGGAATGTGGCTCGAGACTCAGGAATCGGGAAGTGTCTCGAGAGTCAGGAATAGGGAAGTGTCTCGAGAGTCAGGAATAGGGAAGTGTCTCGAGAGTCAGGAATGTGGTTTGCAGGTCAGGAATCCGGCAAGAGTCAAGAATGTGGCAAGAATTGGGGAATTCCTGATAGCACCCCCTCCTCAAGAACGAGTGGAACGAGGATGTGAACGAGAACGAAGAGGAGGATGAGATGAGCGGCGAGGGATGGGAGATGGAGAAAAAGAATGAGGACTGGGACGAGAAGGATAGCGGCGGTGGAAGTCCTGAACAAGATCAGGAGAATGAATCAGGTTGTCCGCAGGTTCCCAAGTGCGTTCCTCAGGTCCGTAACCCTTCTAGTCCACCAGATAGTAGAGTTTAGACCGTGAAATCTTGGAATCAAGGATGTCCTGAACCTCGTACTCAGACCCATCCTCGAGCTGCACTGGTGGAGGCGGAGGAATGACCCGATTTGGAATAGGACTGGGAATATAAGGCTCAAGGAGAGAGGAGTGAAAAACGGGGTGAATTTGATATGAGGAGGGAAGTGCAAGGCGATAAGTGACAGGATTAATGATGGCAGTGATAGGGAAAGGACCAAGGCGTTTGAAATCGAGTTTTGGACAGGGCCTGGTGGTGGAGATATTTCGCCTGAGGAGCCAAACTTTATCCCCGATATTGTAAGGGGGACAATCCTGACGATGGACATTGGCAAATGTTTTATGAGATTCCTGAGCACGATGGAGGTGGAAGGAGATGGAGTTGTGGATTTTCTGGAGGTTGGAGATAAATGCCTCAGAGCGGGGATTTGAACAAGAGGATTCAGATGGAGAAGGAAGTGAGAGATTGAATCGGGGATTTCGGCCAGAGTTTGCAAAGAAGGGGGAAACTCGAAGAGAGGAGTGAACAGAGTTGTTATAGGAGAACTCAGCAAGAGGAAGGATATCGAACCTGTTATCCTGATGATAGTTGATGAAGCACCTCAAGAATTGTTCCAACGTCTGAATCATTCGCTCGGACTGCCCATCAATTTGAGGATGATATGCTGAAGAGAGGTTGGCCTTCACTCCAAGCAGCTGCAAAAACCGTTGCCAGAAATGAGAGATGAACTGAGGCCCCCGATCTGAAACCACATCTGTAGGAATCCCATGAAGTTGGAAAATTTCCCTGAATACCAGTTTTGCCATGTCCTCGCCCGAAAACTCCTTGGTACATGGCAAGAAGTGCGCCATCTTTGTGAAGCGATCCACCACGACTAAAATGCTGTTGAAGCCTCTAGAACTCGGAAGATCACTCAAGAAATCCATGGAGATGGATTCCCAAGGACCTAAAGGGACCGAAGCAAACCTGAAGGA